AATCGGAAACCAAAATATGGTCTTTTTGTTTCTTTTTTTCTTTATTTACGAACTATTATTTATGTTCTACAACTTCACTTTTTATTCTTTGTCTCCTTTATGAGCTGTAGTTCTCTAAATGATGTTTATTATTTTTTTGCTTAGATAATCTTGAATTAGAAATTCGTTTGGCTCGTTTGGAGTGCTTAGTGGATCGTCGTCCATTATTATTGAATAGTGTTCTGTTAAGACAAATTCCACATAATGTTAAAACGTGTAAAGTTGCATGGTGAACAATATAATGTTTCGAAATAGAAGACGTCTTCCAGCGCATGTTTCTGCAAAATATGCCTGTTTTGTGAACTTTCTTGTTTTGCAAATTCTTTTCTTTGAAGCTGCGATTATCTTGAAATCGTTCTGATGCCGATAGTCTTGGAAGGTAGAGAGGAGGGTATAGTGAATATCTTCCCCTAAAATGCGTCATAAGTTTCTAGACGTTCGTCATAGAATACACTCGATGGTATCATATGATATCTGTGCACACTTATACAGTTAGCGTTTCTCTTTTCTATCTCCAATGCATCTACGATAGCGTGGAATTTTACAAATTCCACAGCGATAGCTTTTCGTAAGATGTTGAATTTTTTTTCAGAAGTCTATCCGAAAACATGACGAGTATGCAGTCCAATGACTTACTTCTATAAGTTCCTCAGTTCAGGGGTTTGTACCCCGGTCTCATAATTCATAGTCGTCGGCGTCCCAGGTCCGATTCCTGGAGGAGCTGTTCTTTTTTTCTTCCCTTTCAAAGTAGTCTGTTTTGCTTGCACAGTCTTACTTGGACGGTTTTTCTAACGGTACTAAAACCGTCAAAACAAATCCATCATATTGATACCATAGGAAACAAAAGCATGAACAACCAAAAGCGTGAAAAAACACCATGCCAAACTGACTGAGAGAAACCGCGTATAAAAATCGTCATGCGTTTCACGGTTTTTTTTCTCCGTGTATATAGTCTCTGGATAAGAGATGTGTTAATAAATCCTTAGAAAAGGGTTTATTAGGCCCAAAAAACCTTTGGGTTTTTATCATCCTGGATAAATCCAAAGAGGGTTTTCTATCTTTGATAACGAACCCACAAAGGTTTTTCAGGCCTGATGAACCCTTTATTTGAGAATTATTAAACAACTTTTTTTTCATAGAGTACTATTGCCCTTTTTAGGAAGGAGTTTACAAAAAACTTGACCGTGGAGACGGTAAAACTCCTCTTTCTGCTCTATCTTGTCAGCTCATGTCTATCGTGCGTGACATTCCCACCTCCGACTTCGCGCATATAAGCCTGTTACATTTATTATTTTTTTGTATGTAGCTAATATTACGAGAACCCAAGCAAAAACGAGATGCACGTGCAGCTGAATCTAGATAAATACCCAAAAAATTGGGTCGTTTTTGCTTGGGAAGAAGAATAAGGATAAATGTATTCTCATAACCATTATGGAAAGTGATATATCTGCTGTGGCTCAACGGTATAGAACGTAAAAGAAAAAGAAATTACTTTACACGATATCGAGTAATAAAAACTGGGAAACAAAGATAGCGCAACAAACCTGTGACTTGCTCAATTGCTTGAATTAAATAACATGTATATCTCACGTACAATGACATGAAAAAGCTCAGTATTACATCCGTAAGTAAGGCGTTCTAAAGTCGACGAGAATTTAAGTTATTAAAGTTTTGGTTTCCCTATGTGTCCTTCGTTATACCCAAGCAAAAACGACCCAATTTTTTGGATTATTTATGTAGATAAATAATCCAAAAAATTGGGTCGTTTTTGCTTGAGTAGTAAAACACATCCTTAAATAGTTTGAGAAGGCAGTGTTTGCACAGCAGTGCATAGAATCACTCTTCTTGCTGAATAATCATCACGCTAGAAATGCAGTTCTTCTGATCGTTTTTTTCGTGAATAAGATACACAGGTCTTACGCTTATCGTTTTGCTCTTCTTCTTTTCTGTATCTTATACCGGTATCTTTTTTCCTTCATTTCGTTATTGTTGGTCTACATTGATGACTAATGCTTAGTTTTTTATACTAAATGACAAGTGCAAAAAAAGCCACTTTTTTTGCTATAGGGCTTCTGGAAAACCCGCTCAAAAGCTATGAAAAACCTATCCTGTCGACACAAAAATTATGCCATTAGAAAGTAGACACTTTGGGCTATCCAACCATGTGCTTTTCTCAAAATCAATAGTTTTGACGAAAATCGGCATTTCTGACCCGGGAGGCTATGTTCTGGCCTTAATGAGGGTATGATCAGTATATTTGCGTGTTTTGGTGCTCTTAGAAAAATCCTTATAACTTTTGACTAAAACATCGCACAGAGCTCAGCAACGTCTCATTTTGAACACAAATGTTTGCCTGACTTTTCCAGATAGTAAAAATTACAGGATATAAATTAAGGATATTACCGAAACTTCAAGCGAATTTTGAAGATTTTCAAAAGTCTTGTCCTGTAGACCTTATGAAAACTTTTTCAAAATCTCTCAGAAACCATAGATATATGAAACTCGACTGTAATTAACCTACCACGGTATGTTGAGCATAGGGAAAGATGTTCATAATAAGAATTTCAACTTAATATCGTTTCAGGTTCAGGTTACAAAAGTTTTATACCTTAAACTAGGTACTCTCCAAAACAATGCATCTTTTAAGCTCTAAAGGTGGGTTTACCCACAAGAAAAGCTTTGGAAATCTGCAGAGGACCACAGGCAATGGAGTACCCAATCATACTTTTTGTATGGAACTGTAGTCAGCTAAACGAAAAATGTGTTCGAGCTGGCTCATCTTAATCAATTTTTATAAGTAATTCCATCGACTGGTATGAGTGAAAAATTTAAAACTAGGTGCGATTGATTTAACGGATTGTAAAACTGTATAAAAACTAAACACCGTTAGACGAACACCATACTAAAGTTAGTTACTTCTCTTTTCTTTAATTATGATATGTCTTTCTTTTGTATAATCTACGATTTTATTAGAATTCTTAACTGTTGTCTCTTTTTTTTTATTATTGTTATTTTCTTTTTTATCGTTTTGCACTTCTTCTTTTCTGTATCCTATACCGGTATCTTTTTTCCTGCATTTCGCTATTGTTGGTCTACATTGATGACTAATGCTTAGTTTTTTATAGTATGACTGACTGACTAACGGATATGCATTCTCTGTTCTTCTTCTTTTAAAGACAATTGTTTCGTTATCAAAAATAATATTCTCGTAAAATTTAATTTTATTAATTTTACAGGAAGCTGAATGTTTTGCTATTGTCCGAAATGTTTATGTTGCCGTTATTAACACATCTGTCATGCTGTTTTGATCGTCTCCCGAAGTACTCACTTTCATCAATATACATCGAACCACACTGGGGAAAAAATAGGAAAAAATGGCTCTCACCATTAGAAAGAGCTCGAAAAACTACATTGGATTCTGTTGTGTTTGATTAAAAATCTGTCGAGCACCCGGCAACTATTTGTTCGTACAAAAATTTTTAACAAATTTTAGTCGAATTTTTATCCCCATCGGGGAAATAGACGGTCAACCTAAACTATCTTATGTTTTTTAACGGGTGGTCCAGGTTAAACTGTCGGTTTTTGATTGGCTTTTTTTCAAGTTCGACTCGACCAGAAAGTTTGGTTCTGATGCTAAGAGACAGAATTTTGTGTAGATTTTCTTGATATGTGCTTTTTTAAATAAGCATGCACCGTTCTTTTGAATTGTTACTAAAAGTATTGAATGCCACAAAAACATCATTTGCTCAACACTTGACTGCAATAAAATGTCGTTTTTTTTATTTGCTAAATAATTTTCTATACGCTATTCAAACACACTATGAAAAAGTACAGAAACCTATTTGTTTTTGAGACACAAAAATAAATTTTTGGACTCAATCTAGCTGCACAAAATTGATTTTTATACGTTTCTGATTTTGTAATTGAGCAATTGATACTTTTGTGGCATCCAATACTTTTAATACTGCACATACACAGCAAACATTTTAGGTGTTCAGTCTCGTTACATACAACATACTACACTAGTTGTTCGATTGCATTAATAATGAATTTTCTCTCACGTCATCTGTCCTTTATTATATAGGATTTATATGAGTCACTTATGCGACACATGTTTGAGATAAATACATCAGCAAGCTGAGACGTTGGGATTTTATTTCTGTACTCCTATATACGTCCTCATTCTTTTACAGAAGTGTGTTGTGCTTGCGTGAGTGTCTCTGTCAGCATCCGTACTTTTCTGTGCTCGTCATGTACGCTTAAACCTTATAGCCGATGTGCGTATTTTGAAGGAGTTTTCTTGATAGGTTTTGGTTTTACGGCATTTCTTCTACGTCAGAAAATAACAACGCTTACTAAAAGCAAAAAGCAGTATTATCAAACCTGATACTATTGTTTTTGATACTATAAATATATAAAAACACCATAATACCGTCATATTGTAATCGTTGTGTTCTGATACAATCTACTGTTAGTGAAGAAAATGAGTGTTTATATTCTTAAGGTTATTGTGATAATAGATGTGAATTTCAAAGTGAACGTTTACTTATTTCATTTCAAATTGCACTGTTGCTATTGTTCGATCGTAATATTGTTTTTATCAATTGATATCCTATCTACTAACTGAAAAAGAAACTATGATGACAAATAAACCGTCAACCGACGTTTGCGCGACCGACATTTGAGCGACCCACATTACCGCGAACAGGACTCGACTCTTCCACGAATTTTTCGTAGTGCTTATTTGGGTATTTTTGGCAGTGTGCTGTGGGAGGTGGAGGTGTGGGTAGTGTGAGAGTGAGTTCGAAAAGTAGTTCCACACGAAACATATTTTCATCATACGAAACTGTACATGTGTAACTGGATGGTATAATGACTATTCACCACATAACTTCTCTCGGATTTCATGTCATTCGCGGAAATGTCGGTCGCTCAAACCTCGGGATCGCTCAAGTGTCGGGGGCGCTCAAATCTCGGTCTCTCAAGTGTGGGTCGCTCAAATGTCGGTCGCTCCAATGTCGGTCGCCTAAATGTCGGTCGCTCAAACGTCGGTTAATCCAATTAAACAATTAGTTTATATTCTACGTATTCAGTCATCAGAAAACACTTATTTTAGACTTTTAGATTTCCTAGACTTTCACAGTTCTATATTTCGTAGACTTTTAGAGTTTTACATTTCTTAGACTTTCACAGTTTTAGATTTCGTAGACTTTTACACTTTTAGATTTATTAG